AAAAAAAAAAAAAAAAAAAAAAGGAAACTGTGAGGATCCTAAACAGACCACTCTTAACACAAAAATAGGAGCAAAAAGCAGCTTTTAATGTCGGAAGCTCAGCAGGTGACTCCTGTCAGTCTCAAGAGCCCTGAATAGAAGTTCGTGCTTCTTTATATACCTATTTTTACATCTGTAAAGCTTAATCCCACTGGAGTTTCCCTGGGAATACAGCAAACAGGATATACAAAGCAGAGCAATGGAGAGGTATAGGGTTCTGGCAGGACTTTCTGAGTCCATTTATACTCTTCTGGTGACAGATTGCAGAAGTTGTCACGGTTACTCAGGTACATTCTACAAAGAGCATAGTTACTTAGTTGACTCACTGTTGCCTAATAACACAGTGAACCCATAGTTTCCCAAGTCCATAAGAAGGGATGAACTCTTCTCTCAAAATTACACAATTGAGTCAAAGAAGGCATTAGAAGACTATCCATTTTTTTTCTGTCAGAAATATTCCTATCTTATAATGTTCTTCTCAAAGCATTTTCTTGCTAATATTTTAATCTAATCAAAATCTGCTGTATGGAGTGTAGATATAAAGTAAATAAATATTCATTTTAAAAGAATATTATAATTTCTTCCTTCAATCTCCTGTGAGTTTTCTTATCTCTAAGTCTCCATTACAGTCTTCCACAAATACAATAATTAGTGGTCATTAAATCTTTCTCCTTTTCACTTCCACAGGAGGGTCCACTCATCTTAAAAATTTGCAAGAAACACCAATGGAAGAGTGAGAACATTGTTTAATGCTGGTATGATAGTTAAAATATCTCCAGAAACAGTAAATATTCCATTTAACTACATCCAGACACTCTAAGGAGTGTCTAAGGAATCTAAGTAGTCTTTCATTTATAGAGAGCACTGAAATGCCTAAACCCGCAGTTGACAAGACATTTAAAAGTCTTTTTCCTCAGCTTCTAGTCTGTATTCCACAATTTCTATTAAGAATGCCCTCTGATTTCTTTAAAAAAGTACTTTCAATTTAGCTAGTTATTGTTCTTTTCAAGTTTTTAATTGTACAACAATTGAATGAGCTTAGTTCAATAAAATTTAGTAATACTTTCTGGGATGACTATGAATAGTTTTGGTATTTCTACTTTTATAAATGATTTATCTAATTGAGCTTTGCAACCTTATAAGCTTAAGTTACCAGTAAACTGTATTATAAAGATCCTATTTAAGATTTTGTCAATAATGTAATAGTAGCTAATAATAATATTTAATCAGCCATTTGCTATTTAAATAATTTTGGTATCATGTATTTTATTGTAGTTAATTATGTTTTCTAAAAAAGGAATAGCCACACACTGTGTAAAGATAAAAATATCACAAAGTGGTTCATAGCACAGATCCTGCACCCATGCTTCCTGGGATCAAATCTTAATTTTGTCCCTCACTAGAAATTGCTGTATGCACTTTGCTCATCTCTATAATGAGTAATAATGGTATCTCCTTACAGGTTGTGTGAGGTTGAATTAGTTGGTATATATTAAGTTCTTAAAACAGTGCCTGCAAAGTAGTGATCTCGAAATACCTGTTAGTGCTTGTCTTACTCACATTTTCATTGCCTGGACAAAATAACCAATGCCCACAACTTAAAGGAGCAGAGGTTCATTTGGGTTCACAGTTTCTAGAGGTTTCAGTTCAGCTGACCAGCTCCGAGGCAGCAATGGCTTGGTGGAAGGTTCTGCTGGGAAGGCAAGCTGCTCACGTCATGGCATCTCGGAAGCAGAGACAGACTGGAGAAGCTGAGGAGGGAGGCATATAGTCATGTCCCCAGGGATCTCTTCTGACTCAGTGCTACTTCCTACACAGCACACTGAGCCAAGAGCGCCTCCGTAGATGAACCCTTTGATGAGCACAGCACCCCATGAACCGGTCTCCTTCTGAAAGCCCCACTGGGTACTCAAGAGGATTTGGGGGAACATTCCAGATTTAAACCTTAAAAACATTCTTAATATTATAGTCTTAGAGATACTAAACACAAGTTTTAAAAGTTTTCTAAGGTAGGGTTTCAACTCACGGTTCTGTGATTTAAAACTCAAGATTCTCTCTAGTCAGTCATTCTACCTTTCCATGAGCAAAGACCTGTGTAGGAAGAATTGTGCAAAACAAACAGACTTCGGTTGGGCCTGAAAGTATGAGTAGAAATTAGTCATATGGCAGTGTCAAAATGAGAGTTAAGATATAAATATTATAAGTATCAAT